CTTATCAGTAAAGTTTTATATGGTGGTGGTCATGAACAAGAACAACTATCTGGAAAGGTTAAGATTTCATATTATCATTTGAAATAGTGATAACCACCTCTGCGGGAAAAAAACTTCTGATTTCTATATGATCGAAAACCTCAAAGCAAAACTACTAACGTTTGGACACACCTACTCAATCAAAACTAAGATGTCAAAACTACAAAATAAAGACAAAACATTTAGCTGATTTATTTGAAACGTAATATTTCAGATTCTAGATGACCCGGTTCACGAGGCTGGGTTTTCAGTAACTAAAACATGTTAAGTTTTAGAGCCTCTGCCATTCTCAGTGTAGTTAAGGCCATCACTTGTGTTTTGTAGAGGGAGTGTTGGTACACATCACTAACAACAACTACTACAGAAAGCCATGACTACACTACCAGTAACATGTTTGTTGGAATTTAACAAATATTTTATACAATCTGTAGAAGAATTAATGCAAAATTTCAGCTCTCCAGTTGTAACTATTAAAAATAGCCCTATCGATTCATCAGACTCATTTTTTATTGAAGAGGTTAATGAAGCAGAGGTCACAGAGGCTATTAAGAAATGATCAGATTCTAGGGCAAAGAATATTTATTGCTTGGATACTTGTTTTATTAAAAAATATAGAGATTTCATGACAAAACCATTGACACATCTTATAAATTTATCAATAAGAAATAGGACATCCCCAACTGACTGGAAAAGGGCTGTAGTTACTCCGGTCTTTGAAGGAGGCGAGCGTGATTTGATATGTAATTATCGTCCAGTTTCCATACTCCCTGTTCTTTCAAAGGTGCTTGAGAAGGTTGTGGCAGCACAGTTAATTGATTACTTAGAGACTAATCAGCTGCTTCATCCAATGCAGTTTGGTTTTAGACCAAAATTTTCCACAGAAATGGCAAATTGCTGTTTTGTTGAAAATATTAAGTGTAATCTGGATAATGGTAGTGTTGTGGGTGCAGTGTTCAACCATGACATGCTTCTTTCCAAGTTGATAAAATTTGACTTTTCAAAGAAAGCAGTTGATTGGTTTGAGTCCTATCTCCACAAAAGAGAGCAGCGTGTGAGGGCTGATAAAGACAAGTCGTCCATGTTGGAAAACAGAATGGGTATTCCCCAAGGATCTGTTCTTGGCCCGTTGCTGTTTAGTTTGTTTATAAATGATTTGCCTGCCAGCTGCCAACTTTATGCAGATGATGCAGTTATACACGTAGCAGCTAAGTCACCTGGTGAAGCAGCAGACACCTTAACGGTACATCTAAATGGTGTCCAAAAATGGCTGGAACAAAATCATCTCGTACTGAATT